CCCCCCCCCCCGGATTCTGACAACAGGTTAGACGAGTGTCTCAGCAATGGAATGGTTTCTACTATCTTGTGAGAACAGGAAAACAACTCAAGGAAAAATTTAGGGCCATGTCTCTAAGGACATTTAGAGATATAATATTTCTCATCTGAAAGAAAATGCTTAAGTGAACTGTGTAAATTTCCTGCTAATTTTATGGAGGGTGAAATGGGATTTTTTGAAGGAAGAGGGAGAAACTCAGCATTTTTCAAATCTAGCTGTAGTGTTCCCCTGCCGACCCTTTTCTCTTCTGGTGCTTCTTGCCCCAGCGAATGGTGTGAGGATCTGCGTCTGAAACCAGAGTGGTAGTGTCATCTCTGCCTCCTCCTTCAGCGTTTCCCTATCAACCACCATAAATTCTTCCTCCAAAACATCTCCCACTGCCCTCTAGTACATCACCATCTCCTCTTGCTGGGCTTCTGTAACCACCTCTCCATTTTACTTTGCTTCCTCCAAATCCATTCTCCATCATGTGGCCACATGATCTTGCCCATATTCAGATCCTTCAGTGGCTCCCTGAGAGCCTCAGGTTAAAGGCCAACATCTTGAACACTGTTCACAAGGCTCTTGATCACCTTGTCTCTGCTTCTTTACAGTCTAAATAAAATCCTGCTAAGACCATATGATTTGTATGAAATAATTTGGTCAGGAATAAAATCACAGCAGAAACACCAAATTGGTTAAAAACTTTCCTTGCTGTGCCTAAGACTTCTGGCCCATTTTTCAAGTATATTCTTTTTAAAAAAAATCTCTATTTCATTCTTAGGCAGTTTGGCGTCTATTCCTGAAATTCTGGGTTTCTGAGAGGGACATTAGTATAAACCAACAGCCCGATGCCACTGGCCTTTGCACTGTTGCCAGCTAAGAAGAGGGGACCTATTCCAGGCACTGAGAGTCCTGCCAGGTGTCAGGTCTCCAGCAGCTCCGACAGGCATTGCGATGGCGGAAAATACAACAAACGTTAACTTTGACTACTTTCAGTGACTTCAGAATCTTCCATCATATCATTACCTTCTGCAGATAGCATTTCACTCATCATCTCTACTTTCCATAAATCATGTTTCTGTAAGAACAAAGCCCTAGCCCTAAAGATAAAAAATATCCATGGCACAGAGGCATACAGAGTAGGGCTAAAGGCAGACCACGGACTTAGCCTGTAGACAGAGACTGACTATAGAGCGATCTTGCCCTGATCTAGGATGAGTGAACAGGAAAAACCAACATCATGCTTATGACAAAGTATTGCAGGACCTCAGGAGAAGTACCATCTGAAAGACTTTCCAAACAGCATATCTATACAATTAATGAACTTCAGGATTCAGAAAAAAGTTGCAGGAAATTATTACCTTCAAAAGAAGGTGGTAAGATAGATGGAGGGTATTTCTGGGAGAAGTGTCTCATGCAAACACAACCTGGAAAATGGTCCCAGTCCGCCTCTCTCACCTTAAGCTCAGCATGCTGAAGTACTAGCCATGCAGAGTACTGATCAGAAGATAGATTATTCAACCAAACACTGAGAAAATAGCAGTGCTTAACATCAGTCTCTTAAAAAATGCATCCATTTCAATTTTGGTCTTTAAATTTGATTGTAAATTAAGAGAGTCTGCTTACTTGGTTTTAAAGAACATATTATCCAAAAGAATTCATTAGGAAGATTTCTGCCAGCCCCTATGACACAGTAGCTTGCAGTTAGACCAAAGCTCCACAAAAAGAGCTAAAAAGCTGGATCCAAAAAATCTGTGTGAAGGCTTTGGAGAGTTGCAGAAGCAACCAGGACTCTAAGGACCAAGATCCAAGACAGAAAGAAACTAGAAAGAGGTGTCTGGACATTCTTGGAGCCACATTTCCCCTCAGGGCATTTGTAGGTTCTGAGCCTGAGGTGAAGCTGGGAATCAGGGCAGAGGACTTGAACAGACGCTTCACAAAAATGGATATTCAAATGAGTAGTAAACACTTGAAAACGTACTCAAATTGCTGGTAACTGGAAAATTAAACTTAAAACCACAGAAGATAATACTACACACCCACAGAGAACAGCTAAACAAACAAACTGGCAAGCATCTGGAACAGCAAGAATTCTCATATAATGCTAATGGGAGGGCAAACCATAGAGTTACTTTGGAAAACAGCCTGGCACTATTTTCTAAAGCCAAATCTATGCCTAGGTGATGATTCAGCAATTGCACTCGTAGGTCTATATATTCAAGAGAAAAGTCTACATGTGTTCAACAAAGACATGTGCAAGGATGCTGCCAACAGCATTACTTGTTAAAGCCCCAAACTAGCAACAAATCAAATGTCCATCAGTAATACAATGAATAAACATATTTTGGTATAGTCACACAATGGAATACTAAACTGCAAGGAAAAAGAATAAAGTATTGACTGGCTGGTGTGGCTCAGCGGTTGAGCATTGACCTAGCATCCAGGAAATCATGGTTTGATTCCCGCTCAGGGCACATGCCAGGGTTGCGGGCTCAACCCCAGTCAGGGGTGTGCAAGAGGCAGCCGACGAATGACTCTCTCATTATTGATGTTTTTTTCTCTCTCTTTCCCTTCCTCTCTCTGAAATCAATAAACATATATTAAAAAAAAATAAAGTATTGCTATATGCAACAACACAAATGAAAGCTGGATAAAAACAGCTAAGCACAAAAGAGACTATGATGCGATTCCATTTTACATAAAGTTCAGAAAGGAAAAAGTGATAGAGGTCAGAATCGTGAATACCTTTGTAAAGGGGTTAATGGCTGGGAAGGGGCAGAGGGAGGCTGCAGGAGCACTGCGGATGCTTTGCATCTCATGTGGGTCGTAACTGAGCGGGTATGTTTAGTTTCTAAAAATTCATAGAGCATAGTGATGTCTCGCGCACTAATTCATTAGACACTGTGGCAAAATGCAGGTAGCCACTAGCACCCATTCCTTTTCCTCTTCTTATTTAACAATAGTACAGCCATGTCACACAACTGCCAGGCACTATTTTATAGACACAATGCGGAGGAGTGGTGCAAGTGGTGGCCCTGAATGTAACTTCCCAAATGTAGCTATGTGTGTGGTTGTGTTACAAGACAGCAAGAAGCTAGAAAAATTCCAAGGCAGGAGGAACAGGGAAATCGAAACAAGAAAATTAAATAAGGCCAAACAGTTTGGCAGCCTGCAGCCAGCTTATACACAGCAGGTCCTTATCTTCCTCCAACCAAGGAGAACAAATGGTTAATGTCTCTCCAAAGACAGCAGAGAGCGGGGAGAAAGGGGAAGGAAGAGCGCAGTCTTATCTCATCCTACTCCCCGAACAGACAAGCCAGTGGTCTCTGGGCCTGGAAAGATAAAAATTGCCAGGTGTTTTTCACAAATTACGGGAAAGGCACCACATAGTAAAAGAGGGACTTTTAAAATTAATCTGTACCAAGATATTCCGCAGAGGACTTTTAAAATCTATAGATAGAAAAGTATATAAGGCACCTCCCAGCCCCTCACCCCGCTTGATCCTCGGATTAGCTGAGAGAGCCCAACCGTGCTTTATGCCACACAGATTGACTCGCTTTGCTCCTGTAATAAATTTGCATGCTTTACTTTCTTCATAAATTACTTTCTTAATAAATGTGCTTCAACACAATGCAATTCTCTGGAGTCACTTGTTTGAATTCAATCATACATGAAGACAAGAATCGAGGCGTGTACAGCTCTCTCCCTCCAACTCTGACTCTGGGGGCTGTGCCAACACCTCCTCTCTGGTGTCTGGGAGACGTGCCTGTAACAGTTGTTCAGAGAGAAGCCACAGTTCTCAGCCTCCCTTGTAGCTCACCATGTAACTTCAGTTCTGGTCAATGGAATATAAGCAAAGTAAAAGGGACATTTCCAGGTCTTTCCAGTAAGAACTCTGGTGATGCACTGCCCTGGCCCTTTCCTCCCCTCACCCAGACTGGAAAATAGCCAGGTGGAAAAGCTGCCTTGGACCCAGAGATGAAAGTCACGTGTTCAGGATGGCAGAACCATTCTACTAGACCTTCCAACCTGTGTCTGGGCTGGTATGTGAGAAAGAAAGACGCTTCTAGCTCAGATGGTACCCTAACTAATACAGGCATTAAAGCATGGGATTGAAGGCAGCTATGGTTTGAAAACTTTGTACTCTCATTGTTTGCAATTTGTCACAAGCAACAGTATGTAACTGCTTTGTTGTGGGTCTGCCACCACGCAACCTGGGGAAGACCCTAGAGAAAAGCACGGTCCAGGGGAAAGAGCATCTTCCCGTGAGAAACCTGCTCTAGAGTATCCTTTAATTCTGACTCTAGTAAATGAGACTTGTTTTATTTAACCTGAAAAATCTAAAGGTGTCTGGCTGTCTCCAAGGAAGGCTCTCATGGGTGTCTAACATTCTTTGACCCTCCTGAAAAGACTTAATGACCATCATGCAATTACAGCTGGCTGGGGGCCACAGTGGGAAAGGCCTCGACTTCTGTGACATCCTCATAGACATGACTTGAAGGAAGCTTTTTCAAACACGGAGAACACTGCATTTTATCACGTAGACTGTACAACTAAAGCACCAGACGTTGTACATTTCCCAGGTGCTCCTTTTGGTGATCCCAGCATCAGTAAGCACCAAATATGAACAACAAAGGAAAAAGTGCCTTCAAAGTATGAACCGTTAAGGACCCAGAGAGCATCGAGATATATGGGTTAATGTAGCCAAAGAGAAATACGGACACGGAGGAAGGATCAGTCGAAGGATTGATGGGTTTTGGGTGGTGAATGAAAAGACACAAAATGAATTCTTTTCTTTCTGGATCTTTCAGGGGGCGCTTAGTTTACATATGGCCCTAAGAGCTGAGTTTGTGTTTCTTTGAAAGGAATATACTTGTGGTGTTTTGTGAGATAGTGAGTGATGTGGTTAATCCACAGATGAAATTTTAAAAAATCCTCCTTTTTTTTTTATGGCTTTAACAGAATACAAGTTATCTTACCTGGGGGTTTTTAAATACAGCATATTTTTCCTCTCTCTTCAAAAATACCACTTTATTTTCTGTGTCTCTTGTCCAGTCTGATAAGACTTCAACAACATTTTCATGGTCTTCAAAAAACCTTTCTGATGAAACAAGAAAAGCAGGCTAGTATTGAGTTAAGCACATTGCCTCATACTTCACATAGGTTTTTAGAAACTCCTATTTCTTACATGATCTCACATTGTAACAGCCCTGTTCTATTTAATTCTCCAGTGTCAGGTGTTTAGCTTATTTTCCATAAAAAAAGCATCACAGATGAAGCTACACTATAGTAATAATGGCCAGCCATCGCATTTTTTCATATTGACATTTTTGATTGTAAATAGTTCCAGGTGGAGGTGAACATCCTGTCTGTAAGGAGGACAATTAGGCAATAATCAGTTTAAACAACTGTGAATGAAACTGTGAGATATGCAATAAGCACTCTAAAATATCATTCCTTAAACTCTAAAAGCAATACACCAATATCGGAACCAGACCTAAGCATAAAGGAAGGCTTTCGTTTTTGTGTTTGACTCAGAGTTGAAGAAAACTTCGAGGGGTTCTTTCACTGTAGGCTATTTCCTCCAGAAAAAAATCTCACTAAAAGCTTCTAACACAGGCAGTGCTATATTCCACCAAGCTCTCCTGGCAGACAATTGTTCTGTGAGTGGTATTAAGAATGAGAAGTGACAGTATTTCTTTTTTTTTTCTAAGTCAATTTCTATCAACAGTACTTTGCTCTTTGGGGCAGAGCCTCTTCAGTAGACAAAGTATCAGACATTAAGCAAGTGGGAGGGAGAAAGGGGAAATGGACAGTGATGTGAGGCGGCTACACTATAGTTAAAAAAGCAAACTCTAAAAAGACATCAGCACAGATACCCAGGCCCTCCCACAATCTGCTCAGCTTACTAAGCATGCAGTAAGAAGCATCATCCTGCCACTTTCTTTCCCTTAGGACCACTAGAGAAGTGACAGTAATAATGCTTACATTTCCCAAGGTCTGGACACCTGCTATCACCTGAGTCTCTTCCCCACAAAGAAATGAAGAGGAAAGAACTGAACCTGACAGAAGGGAGGGGATGTCTGGGAAGTCTCGATGGCCTTCAACCAAACTCTTCTGAGTAGACCAAAACCCATATTAAAGCAAACCCACAGGTATTTGGAGAACAGCCTGGAGCTGGGGGTGGGACTTACCAATTTGTAGTTCTGGGTATGTTTCATAAAGACACCAGTCCACACTGCAGTCACAATGGGTTTTCTCAAAAAGGTTGTCTAGAATGTCTCGGACCAGCTGCCGCTCATCCACCATCAGCGACTTNTGCCGCTCATCAACCATCAGCGACTTCGTGCTGTTATCATCCATGTGCACTTTGACAACCAGCTGAGGATAAAGCCACAGAGCAGCCACTGAATGTCAGCAACTGAAGAAGGCCACCAAGATTTAAGGTTTCAAAATTGCTATTGCTTCTGCTAATTTACACGAGCATGTGTCCCACGAATGAACTCCATTTGAACTCACACTCTGAACACTTGTTTAAGGAGTTAGGAATGTAGAGGTGGAGAAACCAACTCACAAAAATAGAAAAACGTACAATAAACAAAGTCCTTGCCCTGCCTTCAGAGACTGCATTCTGGTGAGGGGGGCCGAAGACAAGTGCTGACTTCCTGTTCTCCTGACATCTGGCTGTGACTTACTCAAGGTTCATCCTGGAGCCCAGGAGCATTTCTTGATTGAAAGCCACACCTGTATCTTTGTAATAAATTATTCTCTTTTGCTTGGCTGGAGTTGGGTCCCTTGTAACCCAAGAGCTCTAAGACAAGTAAGACTAAGCTGGCGAGCCTACCGTTCTTTGAAGGTGGGGACTGCACAGCGACATGGCATCACTGAGGAGCCTGAGAACCAGGCTGTATCTCAGCAGAACACGGTTGGGATCAGAGGTGGATTAAGTGAAATAAAGTAGACTGAGAAAGAAGCTATTAAGGAGACATACAGGCAAATTAATGATCTAATTGACTTTTCATTCTGTATGTAAAAATTCTACTGCACTGAGTTCACAGTCAAATTGGTAGTTACCTCACTCCAGACCTGGAGGGTTTGGTGGGAGCAGCATTTACTCATCTCCAATAAGGACATAGGATTTCTCTGGCTTTTCCCAGACAACTCATAAAAGTTATTCCATTTCTGATCCTCAAGAGAGACCATGATTCTGATGTAATACAACAAAATTCATGAAGTAATGCAGCCAGGGTTTGTCTTTGACATGTGTGTATTTGCAGTATATTTTTAATTACAATAGTTTGTTACTTATGAGTGTTACAGGTCATAATGGTGGTATATGTTCAGTCTTCAAAAGGAAGAGTGGAAAGGTGCCTACTAAACTGATCCTACCTAATGAAGTGGGAATTAGTCTAGTCAGAGTCAATCAAGTTAGGGCCTATCTTTGAGTGCAATGGGGGAAGAAGGTGCTACCTTCCTCCTTCCAGACAATCACTGTCCAACCTCCAACCTGCGGTGCCTGCAGCTACTCTACACACACCCAGTAGAGAAATCCTGGAAACAACATCATAAACCAGAACTATCTGGTACTCTTTTTTTTTTTTTAAATCCTCACCTGACATATTTTTTCCATTGCTTTTCAGAGAGAGTGGAAGGGAAGGAGGGGGGTGGGGGAGAAACAGAGAGAGAGAAACATTGACGTGAGAGACACATCAACTGGTTGCCTCTCACATGAGCCCTGACCTGGGCCAGGGATGGAGTCTGAAACCGAGATACACGCCCTTGGCCAGAATCAAACCTGGGACTCTTCAGTCCTCAGACTGACGCTCTAACCATTGAGACAAACTGGCTAGGTCTGATCTCTTGCTTACATTTCTATTCTAACTTAAAAAGGGAAATAGCTCAAGATAAGCTCTGCCTATTCAGTTTGTGTAGGGTTGGTCATGGTAATTCACAAAGGAGACTTATCATTATTTTAAAAAGTGATTAGATGGACTGGAGAGAGAGGCCATACAATTGGTAACATTTCTTCTTCCCCAAAACTTTCGGTTAGATTCTGAGCAAGTTGAGGAACTACCCTCCTGTCCCACTTCCACCTAATCTGATCTTTAGAACATCAAGTTGTCAACCGAGAAGGTGCAGTTCCCCTGGAGTGTTATGCAGAGTTACTGATAGCAAACAAGGGCGTGAGTGGTCATAAATTCTGGGTTNTGTGAGTGGTGATAAATTCTGGGTCAGAGCATGCAAGGACCACAAGTTGAAGCTTCATGTAGTGCCTTGTCTTTCCAGGAGTCAAACTGTAGCCATCAGGGCAGGAAAAGTGCAATTCTGGCCCCTGGGATGATTCAAATTCAAGCTTACCTAAGAATACTTCTTTCCAACCTGCAGCCCAGAAACCTCTAGTTGGGTAGTTGCTTTTTATCAAGGTTGTCTTTTGATGCATTTAAAATGATAGGGCCAGTGCCAAAGACACATTCACCTGACCCAAAAAATGAGGCCTGGAGGGTTGCATGGAAAAACAGATATTCTTCAAAGAGAGGTCTATACTATGATTTATTTTCTCTCTGCTGAGAATTATTGCTATAAAGTAGCGATTTTCAACTTTTTCATCTCATGGCACACATAAATGAATTTCTAAAATTCTGCAGCACATCAAAAAAAAATTTGTTTTTTTGCTGATCTGACAAAAACCAAAAAAGGTATAATTTTTATTAATTCACACCGAATGGCTGTTGTGGTGGCTGTTGTCATTTTTAAATTTGACAATAGAAGGGGGAAAATGTCAATGCCCCTGACTAAATAGTCAGGTATGGCATGTTTTAAAAGTTCTTGCAGCTCACTGCCAATGATAGGATTTAGAAGACTTAATTTTCCTGGTGGAAAAATTAATGATGCTTGACCACATTTCATTCTT